TTGACGCCTTAGTTTTAGGCTTTCAAAGATTCTTTCCATTGCAGCTATCCACAATCTTTGTTGATTGTTATCTTTCCTTAAGCATTCAGATTGGCTTCAACAATCTCGTAGTAGCTCATTGATTCCTTGATCTCTTCTGATTGATTTCCTGCACAAATATATTATTGGCGTTATTAAAATTAGATCTAACAGTTATGACCCAAATTTTAGCGCATTTTGACCCTACCCAAATAACTTTTGGGCAAGTCAATAACCCGCTTCCTATTTATTAATTCAATCCTTTTTTACCTGCCCAAAATCAGCTCAACTCGCCCATTTGACACCCTAGTGATAAGTTACTTCTGGAATGCAAGATAAACAGCGGTTTACCTATGAGTTACTAATTCAAACTCATGACGTACGTTTAATCTGCACATTGTGATGAGTTGTTACTATTGAACCAAAGCTTTTGTTATTGGAAATTTGAATTCAGTATAATACTATTAGACCTTTTCTACCACTAACTTGTTCCCGCATAACTGAAGAAATAAATCATAATTGGCTAAAAATGATTATATTTATGAATTAATACGAGTTTGAAAGTAAAAAAATGGCAAAGTTAGAAAGAGCCAGCGGTTTTTCTCCCCACCCACTTCTTTGAAGGACTTGGATTTCTTTGAAGGTGTTGTAATTTAAGGCTTAAGCAGACAGTGTAAAGTTAGCCTTTGGAAAAAAAAACGAAATTGTCAAAACCTATGAGATAAGATGAGATGATACATACAGTAACAAAACTACGAACAAGAAGCTAGCTGCTCAATACCGGCCTATTCAACAACGGAGGGGGGAGTTAGTCGAGGAATCATTTCTTTTTTTCACTAATTATTGCCTAGGCATCTTAGCATATCATTTAGGCTGTTTGACAAGCTGACAATCGACAGAAAATGTTGAGCAAAACTGTTTGCCTAAAGAATGAGGTTAATTCGTAATCATTTAGGTCACCGAGTTTTAAATTAATAATTTATCCATATTTCATAAATTTCTTAAGATAGAATTGAATCATAATTTCTGGATTCGGGCCAATCCAACCCGCAGACTAAAGTCTAGCTCCGCCCCCAGCCCGTAACATCAAAATTCCTGGGAAGGCGATTTAAACACAGCCTTCTCCAACGATAATTTGATAAGATTCCCCGTCACCACTAGGGTTAGGCATATATCAGGTAAAACCGATAATTCGAACGTTAATATTTATAGGGTTATCGGTATCGGGTTATTGGGTTAATGGTTCGGTAACGGTTTAGAATTTTTTCACTATTGAATTATCGATTTGGGTCTCGGTTTGTAAATTTTGTTAAAAAAATAACTATTTTACCCTTAAGTATATAAATATGCTAGGCCACTAGGGCTTCAGTTCATTCTCTCCTATTCTTTCTTAACAGAACTCTTTAGTTGCTTCATCTTCATTCTTCATAAATCCTAGTTACTCCTAGCATAAGTCTTTAGTCTTATACAATAGGCTTTTAATTTCTATAACAAAATTCATCCACATATTGGTATTTTTGACTGTTAATGATTCTTTATTTTTTTATTTTCGTTTCTTAATTTTGTTAGCTTACGTTGTGCAGCCTACACCTACTACCAGTTTCTCTTCGCACTTATCAATTCTTAATCGACAATCTTCGTCAGTTTCGGTATATTTTTTAACATTATTCTTCTGTACAGAACGCTGAGCTTTGACAATAGGACAACATTTTCTTGCCTTCTAGGCGATTTTCCTTTCTGTGTTAGTATTGCCCATACACAGATCAAGGTTTTGCTCTATGGTTTCTTTTTTCAGGTTAGGCATTTGACAAACAATATCCAGTTTATTTGGTGAAGCCTATAAGGATTGAGTAGTTGTTATCTTGTTAACTTGAATTTGAACTATTAGTACTATATATTTGGACTTGTTAATTTTAAGGTGAAATTGCTACTACTTTGTATTATTATTAATGTATTTGGACAATTGTCGTTGAAGAATTAGTACTATTCCAGTTGTGGCCACTGGACAGAACGCATAAATGGGTAGTATACTATGTGAATTCTTCTCTTTTTTGCTTACCTCCAGTGAATTGTCTTCTCTTTTTTGCTTAACTCTAGATTGAGTTATCTTATCGGGTAAACCGATAACTAAATCGATAACCGATTAACCGATAATCGATAATCGATATCTTATCGGTTCGGTTATCTATTTATCAAATTTGTAAATCGATAACCGATATGCTAAACCGATAATATTCGTAACCGAACCGACCGATGCCACCCCTAGTCACCACCCACCCCTAACAACTTCCCCCTTTGCCTAATCAAATTATTTTTATTCGTTCCTTATCTGAAATATCTTTTACACAACTATTAAATATATTGACAAGATTCCTCGTGGGCCAAAACTTATAAATAATTTAGAACTTCCCGAGGAATATACCGGCCATTTTCAAACAAAAAAAAAAAAGAAGCAAAAACTTATTTGTATTTGAGTGTTTATGAATATAAAATTAAAGGGAGGGGGCGGGGGCGGGGGCGGGGCAGGAAGCAGATAAAAAAGATAAAAACGTACCCATACTGAGTGTTAATAAAATTTTATTAGCTTATAATGTGTCATGTATTTATCTCCGCTCTAATAAATGTTCATCATAAGCCTTTCCTTTTCGTCTCCTCTTCGTATTTTATTGATAATATCGAGTAGCGCCATGCCAATAAAAAGAGCATTGCTACTAAACTAAGCTCCTGATTCAGTACATATAAATTTTTACATGGATAGAATATCATACTCATATGAGCTCATTTAGTTTATGGAACCAGGCAAAATAGGGGTATCTTTAATTTTCAGGATGAGATAATTCAGCACGATTGACATTCGGATATACTTCGTTGGAATAAATTTTTATTTTTGACTTTGTTTATGTTGTAAATAAATTCCATCAACTTACAAAAGAAACACTTATAAATTTGTTTATAGAATTGAAACAACAATTTATAACGCAATGATGTGTGGCAAGCATAGGTTCCCACAACATTTTCAATTATATCCAAAGAATAAGTAAGTTGTTTATCTAGATTAACGCTTCACCACGTTTTAAGTAGCAAAACTGTCAAATCTTATGGCTATTGTTGAAAACTCTTAATGGTACCTTAAGTGGCGAAGTCAGGAAATTTAATAAGGGTATTCAAATTTTGAACACCTTTTGTCAGTGGGCTATGTAAGGGTGTTTAAAGTCTATTTTTAATCAATAACAAGTACTCCCTCCGGTTCACAATAAGTGTCCAATTTGCTTTTTCATTTTGGTTCAAAATAAGTGTCTAGTTATGTAATCAAGAAAGAATTCAATTTGTTTTTACAAAATAACTCCTATGTACATATCCCTAAAAAAAATTCTTACTCCTCACATTAAATGTTTAATTAGGGGTAGTTTAGTCATAGTAGGTATTTTCGTATAGAATTTAGTATTTTCTTAATGGGCGTGCTAAAAACAAATTGGACACTTATTGTGAACCGGAGGGAGTAATATTTTACCTTATACATAGTATAATTTTTCGGCGAAGGGTGGTAAGTTGACCATCCTTAGGCCAACCTAGCTTCGCCCATGGGTACCGTTATCCAAAAACAACAAAGTTGAAATAAATTATTATTATTATTATTATTATTATTATTATTATTATTATTATTATTGTTATTATTAAATGGTAGTTAAGAATTAACAAAATGAGTAGAGAAAGTCTGATTGGACAACGATGCTAAGAAAGTTACTGATGCTTGAATTTGTGGCATTATAATTGAAACTAGTGAATTTATTCGCGCTTTGCGCGATCATAAAAATCATATAAGTGAATTTATGAAATTATATACATATATCCATATCTATCTATATAATATAAAGTTGGTTCTTACATTGATAATGTCACACACCTCATAAACCAAGAAAGGTGTTTGCTTGTTTTTTCTCTTTTTTATTTTGCTTTTTATTTTCTCATTCCTTGCTCTTGATATATATTAATTAACCCCCACTCCCCACCCTTAGAATTCTCTTACTAAATGAAAAAATAACAATTGATTTGTCTAGGAAGCGCAAAAGTCATCCGCCACTGAAGTGTTCTCATTAATTCTTGAATGGTTATTCAACTTTTCATATGAGTAGATAATAAATTAATTGCAATAGTTATGAGTATTAATGCATGACTGAATTCTGTTGTGAATGTACATCCCTTTTTCTTCTTGTGTTCCTGGTTCTAGTAATATAGTGAATAGCAGTCTCTTTGTGAAAGTTTTACTAAAGTTGCCTTACTTCTTGTGTTTTCTCCAAGAAATGTACTTTCTTGAAAGAGAAGAATCTCCATGATTAAAAGTAAAATTCTTGAAATTGATTATCTGGCAAAATAAAATCGGATAGTATAAAATAAATAAGATAAATATATTATTGAGTATGATGGAAGAAATAAGAAGTAGAGAATAGCTAAAATCTAACTCAGTTCATAAACTTCAAGAAGTTAGTTAAGTTAGTTAAAGGTTGTTAGAGTTCGTTAAGTTAGTAAAATCTGTTAAAGTGTTAGTTAAGATAGATTCATTTTATAACTGTAATCTAGAACTGCAATATCATTGGATATGCACTCTATATATATTCATGTATTACAATACAGATACACAATAAGAAAGAGATAAGAATTCTAGCCTAATTGATTACATCTCTCTGTTCTCTCTTCCTCTTCTTCCTCTTCGTTTCTTCTTCTTCTTCTTCTTCTTCTTCTTCTTCTTCTTCTTCTTCTTCTTCTTCTTCTTCTTCTGTCTAATATGTTCTTGATCTTCATTCATTCTATATAGTTTGCTCTACATCTGAATTGCTACATGGTATCAGAGCATAAGAGTTTAATTACTTCCGCAAAGTTCTGAAAATCTACAGTTCTTGAAAAATCTGCTGAAACTGTAAAGAAGGCAGAAGCAGATTCTATATCAAGTTGAGTATCTGAACAAACAATTCAATCATTGAAGCATGGCAATCAATGATGCAGAGAATCTGGAAAATGGAACTGGAGTACCTGTGATTCAAGTTGATGCGAGTACAACACAACCTGCACCAGGAAGCACACCAGTGATGGATCATAACTACCCCTTGTATCTGCATTCAACAGATGTAAGTGGCATTTCACTCATCTCTTTACAGTTAACTGGAGCAGAAAATTATTCCCTATGGAGCAAATACATGAGAATAGCTTTACTAGGAAGAAACAAGCTGGGATTTGTTGATGGTTCTTGGAAGAAAGAGAACTTTAGGGAAGAATTATGGTACCAGTGGGAAAGGTGTAATGCCATAGTTCAATCTTGGATTATTAATACTGTTTCTAGCAATCTGTTGGGGGGAATAGTTTATGCTGGTAGTGCTCAAGATGTGTGGGAAGATCTTAAAGAAAGATTCAATAAGGTGGATGGGTCTAGATCCTTCAGTTTACATCAAGTAATTGTTAGGCTAACCCAAGGAACAGCTTCTGTAGCAACATATTTTACTAAGCTTAAAGAGCTATGGGTTGAACTAGAAGCATTAGTGCCACTACCTGGATGCAAATGTGATAAATCAAGAGAGTTTGTTCTTTATCTCCAACGACAGAAATTGTATTAATTTTTAATGGGATTAAATGATAACTACCTACAGGCTAGAAGTCAAATTCTTCTGATGATACCATTGCCATCAGTGAATCAAGCATATGCTATGGTAGTAAGTGATGAAGCTCAAAAGGCTATGGGGGCAGCTTCCAACTCAGTTGGTTTGTTGGTTACTATGCCCAATCTTGATCCTATTGCTATGTATTCCAAAATTGAATATTAAAATCAGAGGTTAAGAAAAACCAGTAATCTGTACTGTGACCATTGCAAAATGAGGAATCATACCAAAGAAAATTGTTATAAGCTTAAAGCATAGCCTCAAGAATCTAGGTTCAAAAGGAAAGGGGGATCTGGTGGATCCTCTGCAGCTTACGATGTGCTCTCACAAGAAGCAAATGAACAAATGACACAACTGGATAACTAAGGAAACAATAAAGCAAGCAGGATGCATTATACACCTTCACAAGTGGCACAAGTTCCAGGACAAATAACTCAAACAGGAGTGTGTGCTTTCACTCAGTCTCAATATGATCAGATTGTTCAAATGCTGAATCAAAGTCATCAACAAAGTACCAATTCACACACTGGCTCTTCAGCCAATGTAGCAGGTACATAACCAGGTATTTGCAACAGTAAAGTCATGTTAGTATCCAAAAGTCTTAATGATTGGATCATTGACACTGGTGCAACAAACCACATGGTGTCTGATATAAACATGCTAGACAGAGCCTCTTTGCTAAAAAGTACAAATGGAAAAAATGTGCAGTTACCAAATGGTGAAGTATCAAAAGTAACTCACATTGGTTCAAGCAAAGTTTCTGATAATAGTACTCTAACTAATGTTTTTTTGTTACCTTAGTTTAAATATAATCTTATGTCAGTATCACAGGCTACAAAACAGTTGAATTGTGTAGCTGCTTTCTATCCTAACTTCTGTGTTTTTCAGGATCTTTACAATGGCAAGGTGAAGGAGATTGGTAAAAAGGATGATGGATTATATCTGCTATTAAACAAGTCAACTGGAAAACTTGGAGGAACAGGATTAAATGCTTATGAAGTTACTGTTGTTAGTATAGAAGAAATAAAACTATGGCATATGAGATTTGGTCATGTAGCTAGTACTACTTTGAATAAGATTTTTCCTGCTAGTAGTCAGGTTATAACAGGAATTATTGACAAGTGTAGCATATGTCCATGTGCAAAATAATGTAGACTTCCTTTTCCTACTAGTTTGAGTAGAAGCAGTGCTAAGTTTGATCTTATTCACATGGATGTATGGGGACCTTACAAAGTTCAAACCTTTGATGGAAATAAATACTTTCTAACCATAGTAGATGATCACACTAGAATGACATGGGTGTACTTGCTGAAACTCAAATATGATGTATGCATTGTTATTCCATTCTTCCTAAAATATGTTCAACTCAGTTTAATACTATGGTCAAAGTGGTTAGAACAGATAATGGTACTGAGTTTCTTAATGAGACTTATAACAATACATTCAAGCAATTAGGGATAATGCATCAAAGGGTCTTGTGCTTATACAACCCAACAAAATGGCATAGCAGAAAGGAAACACAGACATATCCTAGAAATAACAAGAGCAATTAGATTTCAAGCAAATATTCCTCTGAAATTCTGGGGACACTGTGTACAAACCGCTGTATATCTTATTAATAGACTACCATCATCTGTGATAAAAATTTCTCCCTATGAAAAAATGTATCATAGAAAACCTTCTGTTAAACATTTAAGAGTGATGGGATGCCTTTGCTATGCAAAGAATATCGCTGAAACTGATAAGCTTCAACCTAGAACAAGAACAAGTGTTCTAATGGGATACTCAGAAGTACAAAAGGGCTATATACTGTATGATATTACTAACAAATGCTTCTTTGTCAACAGGGATGTTAGTTTCAGAGAAGATGTATTTCCATTTAAATGGAATACTACTGAGAGTCCTATATTTAACAATACTATAACAGAAGAGTCTCAAATAGATGAACAACACGCACAAATGTTGGAACAACAGACCTCTAGCAGCTATCAAGAGTCAAGTTGAAATCAACAGCTACAAACTCCTATAGCAGTACCTCTAGCTGAAATTACTACAAAAACACAGTCCACATTACAGTCACAGATCAATGTAGACATACAACCTATGCCAGAAATCACAAGGGCACCAATAGTTCAACAACTGCCATCTCAGACTGTGTCAAAGCAAAAACCAAGAGTGGAACCTACCAGAAAGACTACAAGAACTTCTAAGCCACCAATATGGAAAAAAGATTTCATATCACTCAGCTTACATAACAAAGCTAATTATCCAATTTCTAACTATATTTCTTATAATAACATCTCACCAAAGTATACTGCTTTTCTTGCAGCCTTTTCATCAGTCACAGAACCTCAGTCCTATACTGAGGCAGCTCAAGATCCAGCATGGATTGAAGCTATGCAAGCAGAAATTAAAGCTCTACAAGAAAATAATAGATGGGAGATAGTAAACTTACCAGAAGGTAAGAAACCAATTGGATGCAAGTGGATATACAAAATCAAATACAAGGCAACAGGTGAAGTAGAAAGACTTAAGGCAAGACTAGTAGCAAAAGGCTATAGTCAACAAGAAGGTATAGACTACCAAGAGACATTCTCTCCTGTAGTCAAAATGGTGACAATTAGGTCAGTTCTATCTATAGCAGCTGCAAGAAGTTGGCACATACATCAAATGGATGTATATAATGCATTTCTACAGGGAGATCTTACTGATGAGATCTATATGACACTACCACAGGGATTTTAGAGTCAGGGGGAGACTAAAGTATGTAGACTCATAAAATCCCTATATGGTCTAAAGCAGGCACCAAGATAATGCAATGCTAAAATAACAGAAGCCTTGTTAAGGTTCCAGTTTGTTCAAAGTAAATTTGATCATTCTCTATTCATTAAGAAAACAGACACAGGCACTACAGTGGTGCTCATTTATGTTGATGATATGCTGATAACAGGTGACAGTATGGAACTCATACAAGATACCAAAGCTGCATTACAGAAAGCCTTCAAGATAAAGGACTTGGGTGAATTAAAGTACTTTCTAGGGATTGAATTTGCAAGGTCAGAAAAGGGAATCTTAATGCATTAAAGAAAATATGCATTAGAACTAATATCTGAACTTGGTTTTTCAGCTGCAAAACCAATAGGAACACCTATGGACAGTAATTCAAAACTCACAACCAAGGAATATGATGAACATCTATCAACTGTCTCAATTACTAAGGATGAAGTCATATCTGACATAGGTTCATATCAAAGGCTTATTGGAAAGTTGTTATATCTCACAGTCACAAGGCCTGACATAACTTTTAGCGTGCAGAATCTAAGCCAATTTCTACAACAACCAAAAAGATCTCATATGGAAGCAGCCCATAGAATAGTTAAGTATATCAAAAATGAGCCTGGTCTAGGAGTACTCTTATCCAATAAGTCACAAGATAACATCACAGCATTTTGTGATGCTGACTGGGCAGCATGTCCACAAACAAGAAAGTCAGACACTGGTTTCTTAGTAAAAATTGGAGATTCAACTGTGTCTTGGAAATTAAAGAAACAAACTACAATTTCAAGGAGTTCTGCTGAATTTGAATATAGAAGCATGGCTTCAGCAGTAGCAGAATTGACATGGATACTAGGAATGCTCAAAGAAATTGGCTTCAAAGTTGAACTTCCTGTAACCATCTACAGTGACAGCAAAGCTGCAATTGAAATTGCAGCTAATCCAGTCTTTCACGAAAGAACAAAACACATTGAGATAGATTGCCACTTCATAAGAGAGAAAATACAGCAAGGTCTTGTGAAGACAGAATACATTGGCACTACTGAACAACCAGCTAAAATACTTACCAAAGGGTTAAACAAAGCTCAACACATGTATCTAAGGTCCAAGCTAGGATTGCTCAACATCTTTACACCACCTAGCTTGAGGGGGAGTATTGAGTATGATGGAAGAAATAGGAAGTAGAGAATAGCTAAAATCTAACTCAGTTCATAAACTTCAAGAAGTTAGTTAAGTTAGTTAAAGGTTGTTAGAGTTAGTTAAGTTAGTAAAATCTGTTAAAGTGTTAGTTAAGATAGATTCCTTTCATAACTGTAATCTAGAGCTGCAATATCATTGGATATACACTCTATATATATTCATGTATTGTAATACAGATACACAATAAGAAAGAGATAAGAATTCTAGCCTAATTGATTACATCTCTCCGTTCTCTCTTCCTCTTCTTCTTCTTCTGCTGTCTAATATGTTCTTGATCTTCATTCATTCTATATAGTTTGCTCTATATCTGAATTGCTACATTATATACAATTTAATGTTCAATAATCGAAAAACTTATTTCGTTATGTAGGGAAACAACAAAATTGATCAGAGACGGCAAAAATTGGACTAAAGCACCCATTCCACAAATTGTGCAGATCCAATTTTGGATTACCATATTAGAGAAGATTCTCTTACTATTAAAACATGTAATGAAAATATCTCGGCAGAGATACATAAAGCTCATAAATTTGGTAGTTAATTACAACAACACATTCATAACCAAGAACCTAAACTTTATTTGCCGACTAAGATTAACTCCATGTTTCAAACTCATTGTTATCGAAACATGACAATATCGAAGATTAAACTATGTTCTTAATCACTATCAACATGATGAGATACTGAACAATACAGCTAAAGGCAGGCTCTGATACCACGATGTAGAAATTTAAACACATATATAGAGGCGACACAGTGGAAATCAAACAAGGAATGTACCTTCAGCCATAGTTGTTCAAGTGTTATAGAATCACCTTGTAGAACTTTGACAGAAAACCTAGGAGCCTTCTAGCTTGTGCCTATCGTAGGATGCCAGACTGATGGAGTCACAGGCGTATTTATAGATAGGCTAGGGACTCCTAGGCAAATACTTTAGCTCTATGGACTTCTCCATAAATTATAATTACCCTAGGGACTCCTAATATATGGTAATATCTTTCCATCAAAGAAACTACCATATATGCATAACTACAGAATATTATCTGATATATTATTTCCTTTGGAAGACAAGGTAAATAATTTATTACCTTATATGTGGGCCACACTAAAAGTCTCTAGGAGAGACGGTAATTTCTAACAATATATTTTATATTCATTGATTTAGTGTAACCAATGAATGCAGAAATATT